TGAACCGGCGACCTTCCTATCACAGGCTCACCTTACCTTCTGCGTAACCACTCCCCCATATATCTACCATTAGAGTAAAGATGATAAAATAACAGCTTATAAACTATACTTGTTCTTTAGATTAAGTTGTCATCATTACTATTTTTTGCTGTGTTTCCATAGCATTGTCTTTTCTTATCAGAAATCTGTTTGTTGAATTAAAGTGCTCAGCAGGAGCAAATAGTTTTACTTCATTTTAAAGTACCTGAGTTCATTGCTTTGCTGAAAAGCATGCAGGGGTAAAAGTCTGTCCTCTTGGGCTCTATCAATAACCATTAAGGGTTTTCTCTCATTAGACCAAACTTCATAAGGCCTCAGGGCTTGAGGAATAGGCTCACCCATTCTATGTGATGGAGTATACTTAGATGGCATCACTGCTGTTTGGAAATGCAAATTAGGACAGTTATTTTTCCCTCTGGATGATTGCCACGAGGCCTATGTACATGGCTTTATTCTCATTTAACTTCTTCATTTAATCAAGAAGAGCCTCACTCCCCTATAGGCAACCTTCAATTTGCTCCTCATCTCCTCCCTTTTCTATGTACACACACACACACACACACTCATCCTTGGGGCTCATTTAACATATCCAAGCTACTGCATTATGATTATTCATATGGCAATGAGGCTAGATCAAGCTGGCAAGGCTGCTTTGGCATGATGGGAATGTTTCCGAATGGTGACTTTGGAGGCTGGCTGCAGGGAATTCAAACTTAATCAAGATAAGAATGTCTTTTTCCGGGCAACTTTCATTGGGTTAAGGCCAAAGTGGACAGAGAATGAGAGGAACAAGAGTCGAAGCTTAAACAGAGTCATGTTCACTCTCACCCTCTGTTTTCTTCATGAGGAGCCAGAGGTTTTCTGCCATGAGCGATGGGTTTCCTTTAGGGCCATTGGAGACACTTTTGTTTTACTGACAGAGGAGACATTAGTAAGATTAGCTCCGTTCTACTCGATCAGTCCTATCTTAGCACTGATCTCTTTCTCATTTTCTCTCACGGTCTTCCGAATTTCCACGCTTGCTGGATGTTGTCCACCCTTCACCCCTGCGATGAGCCGGTACGTTTCAGTGAAACCCCGAATGGTTTCAGCCTCTCAGCTATCAGCTCAGCTCTTATCCACAGGCCTTGGTCACATGAGAGGCGGAGGCAATGATGGTTCCTGATCAATAAAACATTGACTGCATTAAAGTCTATGAATAAGTCATGGAGGGAAAGAACCCAGTCGTCAGGACACACAGTAGAAAATGGCCTTTTACTTAGGACAGAGAGACTGAACAGGCAAGAAATACAATAAAGAACAAGGCAAAGGCCTTAAGTTGAAAGGAATTTATCAAGCACCGACTGATACTTTGTTGTATGTTAAATCTCGTCTTTTTTTTTTTCACCACCCATGGTATTTGCTGCCATTTTCTCTCTAGTAATAGATTTTTCCTGTGTGAGCGATAAATAAGTTATTACATCCCTGTGTCCTAAGGCTTAGCAAAGACTTTTTGAATATAAATAGTTCATTTGCCTCTATAGAGCCTCACTCTGTGCCATATGAATATATGTGTAATTACATTTGTGTGTGTGTGTGTGTGTGTGTGTGTGTTTAAAAGCAGGGGGTTTTGGTTGTCTGGAGATCCAAAATGAAGTTGCCTTGCACAGATAAAATTGTGAGTGTTTTTTTTTTTTTTCCTGAATATCACCTCAGATACGATGAAGCCGTGTCGTAATCATGAGGATCAGCTTGATGCTGATTTCTGTGTGTAACCTGTCTGCTTTGTGCTGTCAGTTGTGGATGTGTTAGAGTGGTGGTTCTTCACAAAATGACAATGGCATACACTTGTGACTGTGAGTGACCCTATATTACCAGTTTAAATGCACAAATATTGTTAAAATATTATATTAAATAATGGCATAATGACAGCACAAAGTGTCTTAACATCCACAATACCACTTTTACTAGTTTATGACTTTTGGGGTGGAATATGAATATGGTAAGAAAAGAAAACCGAGCAAACCTGTCCAAACAGTTGCCAACTGCTATGTCCATAGTCTCCCAAATATTCTGTACCGTCGCTCTGAGTAGGCAGTAACCTGTGTGTTGCCCCCCACTAACATACAGCACAGTGGGCTTGTTGGCCTTGGTAATGAGTTGGCCAATCTCAATGTGTCTGATACAATGGTTGACTCCAGGGAGCGGCTTCCCCCAGAGCTGTGCCACCATGCGAGCCACTATAGCTACAGTTACCAAGGGAGCCCCCATGCCAGGACCTTTCGTGTACGCCACACAGTCGATGTCTGCAGGCTTCAGCACCACTTGCTCCAGCGTCTCCTTCTGGACAGTCAGTACAACTGCATGGTGGTGTCTGGCTATATCGCTTGGCATGAACCCTTGACCAGAAGGTGTAATGTAGATTTGTCTCGGGTTGCGAAACACTTCGTCATTCCTTATGATGCCAGTGCCAATCTTACTGGCACTTCCTCCGAAGCCAATCACTATCGTCATGGCAGTGAGGTCTTTCTTTCCTTTGAGTACCTGGGGACACTTGCTCAGGGACACGTCCTCATGTGACTGGATAGTGAAGGAAGCAAACCTCCAACTCTCCCATTAGAGGACAACTGCTCTAACCACTCAGCCACAGCTGCTGTGTTGCTGCTTTGCTAACACTTGAACATGTCTACTGTGGCTGCTTTCTTAAATAAAATGCATTTCTCCTTCAGGGTGTTAAAGGCAGCAGAGCAAATGCTCAGTGGTGGAAAATTAAAACTAGATTTTCATCTTCTTTAATGTGTCTTTCATTCTCTGTAAGTCTGAGGCGAACTGATTGTGGGGGAGTGAAATGAGGGCTGTCTGCTGATGAGCCAGTGGGTTTAAGTTTTCTGCATTTATTCAAAGTGCTCTTTCTTACATGAATAATAATCAAGGTGGTCCAGTTATTTGTGTGTGCAGCTCTTGGGCCACAGCTTTTTTTTAATTCATGCATGGATGAATGTGTTTATTTAGTATTTCTTACTGGTTTTAGTTAAGCACGTTTTGGTCCTTCACTGTGATTTAACCTGGAGAACTGTGATAGAAAAGATAGGAGCTCTGATGGGAATAAACTAAAATGTTTCTATTGCTAAAAAGAATGGCAAGGAAATATATCAAGTTTAATTAATCTAATTATTAAATAAACTTTTTTCTTTATGGTAAATGAGTGGTCCTGCTGGGAAATTGAGTAGCAAAGAAACATACACATATTTTTAAAATCAAAATGTTGCTGTCATTAATGAGTTAGAGTATTCTTTTTGGTTTAGTGGTTATTATTCTGTTGTTTAATTTGAGGCCATAAATGGATGTGAAAAAACACATGAATGCACTTTCAAAGAACTTAGCCTATTTTCTCATTTATTTTCAGTTTATTTTAAATAAATCTTTTGCTTTTATGCTTGTAACTCTTAACAAACAAATAGATGATTACTAGATCTTTTGTCAACACGATTTCTGCAACCTCATATCAGGTGCATTTAACAGCTTGAGCAAAATTGTGCTCGTTTAGAGATATTTCATTTACAGTAGTCCCTCATTGTTTTAACAAGAATTGTCTAAACTTCCTTTATATTTCAGAGCACTACCTCGTGGTCAGTTAAAACATGTTTGTATTGTTTCTAGGATATTGTTCAAGGGTGTGTTTTTCAACAAAATAATATTGGAAAATTGAAGGTGCATTGTGACCTTATAACACCTGACAGTGTTGTTTATAAAATAAAATCAGTATCGGCCAAAATCGGAATCTGCAGGTCAGAATTTTTAGAAGGTGTTTTAAACCCTTCCCACATTCTTGCAATATTCTAAACAATGTTTCTAAACTCTAAACGCTCTAAAAGAGCACAGATTTTCATGATTTCAGCTCGGCTGCATTCTTGGCCACGCCCACTTATCTGCTCTGCAGGGAGATCAGCTGCAGGAGGACGCTTCTCCCACAGCTTTGGGCTGCACACGGGCGCTAATTGCTAAATCATTTAAAATTATTTTAAATAAAAAGCCTATGCCGCTCATGCGACTCATCTATCAATCAGCCATTGTGTGTCATGTCCAACCTTATTTTTAAAAACCGCGATAGAGTGAGTCCACGAAAAGCGAACCGTGAAGTAATGAGGGACTACTGTATTTGCTTTTGTAGCATGCGTGTGAGAGATTGCTTCAAGTTTAAATGAATTCTTGCTCTGTAGCTGTCTGCAACCATTGTTTATAGCATCTGTAATGGTTGTAGGACTCCTTAGCCAATGACAAAGTTAATGATCTTAGTTCTTGCTTTGATGGCATCTGTACCTTTTAGAAACATATTTTTCATTCTAATGCAGAAACACAATCTTCTGTAATATCAACTTCTGATATCAACAAAAAAAAATGTAGGATGGAAGCTGCCATGTCAGTTTGCTGGATTTTTTCCTGCTTTTTTTCTGATGTGTTCCATTAAAGTGAATGGGACTTGATGGATCTAAGCAGCATCCTCACACAGAGAACCAGTGTTTAAATTATCCTGTTGACTTGTTCTTAAAGATTTAGTGGAAAACATATGAATGCATGGAGTTGGAGGAGCTCCAGAGAAGTTGCCACTGAGGGAGCAGCAGAGTTCTGCCACCCTTGCAGTACTTTGTTCAATTAGAGTAAATGATTAGTGTGGACTGTCTCCAGTGAAATTGAATCTATCAGCCGAGCTCAGATTAGTACAGGTCCCTGCAATTCAGCTATCACTTTGTCTCCGTCACACTACAGCTGCTAATACAAAACCAACAGAATGGATGATTTTTACTTAAGGCATAGCTTGATTGAAGCTGATTACATTTTGCAGATTATATTTCCATCATGTGTGTGCATGTGGGTGGAGTTTGTGTTTGTGAGGCCCTGTACAGGAGGTTGTGAAAATGGGTAAGAGACGAGATTTACCTATGTGATTTGAAACTTTTTTTTAATTCTTATTATTATTCCAGGCTGCCAGAACCAAGGGCGAACCCCATGGACCCACGAGACTTTGAGGACAATGATTCTGGACCATCCATGGACCACGCCCCCTGATATGAGCGGACCAGACTCCTTGTACATCAACTTGTCCTTCACGATCAGCCTCAGTCTGCCATCTGGCCGGCCCCTTTTCTGTCAGTCATTTTCCTCCTTCCCTCCCTTCTCCCTATGGCAGTGAACTGACCTTGATGAAGGCTGCCGTGACATATATGGATGGCCACGTCTCTTTCACTTTCAAACTTTTTAAATTCCACACTAGCTATGAACTTTCTTTAATTGAAGCACTCAAGTTATGTGCAATCAATTACCATCAGGCTCGATTTTCACAGCCAGTCAGAGTCTTGGCTTACTGGTGAGCCTGGCTGACTCAGAGAGGAGCTTGGGTAGGCAGCTGAGCGTAGCATCTGTTAAGCCCAACAGATGTCAGGAAGAGGAACGTGTGTGACACGGTGCTTTACTCTCTTCATTTATTTGGAATATCATTTTGGTTCTGCCATTTGGACACTCCGAATGCTCTCAGACATGAACAGGGAACATTTCTTAGATGCCAAAATGCCTTACGTCCTTAAAGATTATAATAAACACAATGTTCTGTGGGGGTTATTTTAATTGTTTAAAGGGATATTAATCCTTAAGTCTTTACCTTTGTCTCTTCCAACCTTAAAATTGTTCCAATTTTTTTGTGCACTTTTTGAATCTGTTAAGAATCGGGACATTTTGATGCCTATTGATTGGTAAACGTTGCTGAATCTTTGTTAGATAGAAATCGAACTGCAATGTGACTATGAAAAACAGCCCTTCTGTATTTCTCAACTCTCTAGGTATTGTAATGTAAAGGATCATTACTTCCATCCATTCTACAGCATGTGACGGATTACAGTCCAGAGAAGTGGATGCAGTTTTTACCTTGACCTGCTCAGACACAGCTTTCACTCATGATGTATTGTCTTTTTTTTTTTTTTACATATCAGCAGTTTGCTTCTATTGTGATTTATTTTGTTGCCTTAAATTCAGAAGTGAGAGTGTGTCACTAATGATATGTAGGACAAGTTTAACAATGACACGATTTTACTGTTGTAGCATTGCACAAAGATACTCTGAAGATGTATATTTACTCAAGGGAATTGCTGGTGTGTCAAGTCTATTGAAGAAAAAACGAGCTTATGTTCTACTGTGACTTCCGACTGTAGTCTCAATGTCTGATGTTGCCTTCTAGTTTCATTTGTCTTTTTGGGCTTTTAAATCTATAAATAAACAGTTTTTTCGCTCAGACTGTATGACATTCATGTTTCTATTTTAAGGAGTTGTCATTGTTTTATGTTGGTTTTTTTTTTGTGGAAAAATACTGGAAACCATCACTCAACCAGTCTTCTAAGTCAGTATTACAATAAAACCTCTCCTGGAAGCAAGATTTTTTTTTTAAAGATGGTGCAGACTGAAAAAAAATGACAAACTTGTTTTAAAACGAATTCAAGATGGGGGAGACTTTTAAGGATTTTTTCCCTCATTAAAATTCAAAGCAGGAGCTCATTCTGATAGGACTGGGAATAGGAGGTTTGGGAACAGGGGGAGGCAAAGCAGTAAAGTACTGTAAGTTATCTGCCTATCCAAAGATATTTAAATGAAGGACCAGTTTTGTGTCTAAACAAGCCAAAACCAACCTTGATCAAGTCTTATCACTTCAAATCTGAGAGCTTTTGTTTCTCCGTCGTTCATTTTCTGTCTCGTTTCTTCACAGGGAGACCACCATCTGGAGTGCATTAGCATCACACCTGCTCTCTACCTGAGACACTTCTTGTAGCCAAAAAATGCCCTTCTAGCCCATAATTGAGATACTGGTTTTGACATATTGATTTAAGGACATTTATCTATCCTCCAGTCCTTGCTACATATGAGGTAACTATAATTTTACATTCTGTAATAAGTTTAACCTCTGCTCTAGCATTGGCTGAATCAAAACCTAAGTCCCAGTCCTTTGAAATCTTCTATATAGACCTGTCATGATAACAAATTTTGCTGTGCGATTATTTATCTCAGAAATTATTGCGATAAACGATTATATTGTTATATTGTCAAATTTAAGAAAAAAAATTTAGTTTGTGTGTAGTAACTTTTTTCGACCATCGGATGGCAGTATAAGACTGTTTGAACCAAAGGATGGATAGTGAGGGAGCGAACAGCGTGTCTCTTTTTAGAAAAAATGGGAGGGAGGCTCTTTGACATGACATGGGCTGTCTTTCTTTGGTTCTCAAAATGGCAGATGCTAGGTGCAGTTTGAGCTCTTTAGCATAGCATTTTTCACACAAAGCTTTTAATAAAAAATCAGTAAACAAGTTCTCAGCTTCTTTTTGCAGAGTAAAACAACATTTTACACAAAGGCACGGGTTTCAACTGTGAATTTTTGAGCTTCGACAAGACGGAGGTTTTTTCCTCGGGGTCGGCCTGTTAGCTCGTAGCTTAGCTTCTCAGCTTAGCTGCTTTTAACGATACAAAAATGCGATTTTGAACGGTTAAAATGGATTTTAGAGAAAGGAAGGAGTCTGTGAAGAGCACTGGAGTTGAGCCTTTTGTCATCCAGTGTTTTCAGTAGAAAGAAAGAGACAAAGAAATGATAAAGCCGATAAATGAAAATGAGGACGATAATTTTCATTTATCATGCGATGAATTGATTTATTGTTTATTGCGACAGGCCTCCTTCTATAATGCGTCTGAGTCTCTGGTGTGGGTAAGCTAGGGAGGGCATAGCAAGTTACAGCCTGTTGTGTTATCAAAATAAGAACAGTCGTCATCTCCTTATGTTCATTTCTTATGCCCCGGAGCAATAATAAGAAATCTGAAAGGAGTCAATGTGGCTGGTGTCAGTGGAGGAAATGGAGAGAAGAAGATTGTCTGATCTCGTTTAGGAAACGAGACCACAAGGTTCCCTTTTTTTCCACACCCAATTACACCTGCTCTTCCAGGTCCACATCGCTGAGCATGTTCACAAAGAGGCACAAAGATCTGCAAATAAACAGACGCACAGCCGTAAGACCTCGACTTTTCTGATTGGGAGAGAAAAAAAAACCCTATTTGTGCATTTGTATTGACGTGAATTAATTGCTTCATGGCTTGTGAGATTGAATTAGCTACGTGACATGCTTGCTAGTGGTGATGCAGCTTTTGATTGCTGCCTTTAATAGCGTCTGTTCTATCATCCTTTTTAAAAGGACAGTTGCAGTCTGTGGTTTCACAGTTCTGAGGAGCAAATCCACCACCACCCCAGTCCACTATGACATGCTTTAATAATTCTATTTATGAGTATAAAAGAGCAATTGGTGGTAGAGGAATTGGTGACTTCTCTAATAAAAGACCACCGTTTTCTTTTACTTGCATGTGGGTGTGCCATGTTAGGGATTGTGGGTGATTTTGAAAATGTCCATTGGACTGTTAAAAAAAAAAAAAAGGTTTATTCACCCTCTCAAATCACAGTACTGTACATTGAAAAGTTGTTTTGCTTGGTTCACAGAAAATGCACTCTTATATTTCCCTTTGACCTTTTAACTCCTTCACATTTCTTCCACATTTGTACGTTTTCCACTGTTTGTCAGGTTCAACCACTGGCTGACACACTACAATACTCACATCACTTATTTTAAATAAGAAAAAGCTGCAATCATCTGCAAACTGTAACATTTTAAACCCTAGTTTAAAAATGCGAGTATGAACTTGTGAATTTTGGATATAATTTTTTGGAGGTGGTTAGCCACAATTAAATGATTTTATAACTTGGTAAACAGATAAACTCACATACAATTAAAGGTCTAGTAATCCTTGAAGTAATGTGTATCTCCCACGGCCATTAATCACAAAGTTTTACACTAGAATCATCTTAAGAAGATAAATGATAAAGTTATAGCTATTATGACAATTGTATGTGATTTTGAAAATATATTGTATAATCTTGCTAACAAAAAGGGTTGACTCTGGCATATAATGCCAAAGTTTTAAGCAAAGATCTTGTGTAAAATATTCCACTAAAAATATATGTTGGAGGCAATGCTCAGCTGCTACTTCACCAAATTTTAGTTCAATATCTGTCAAATTGACAGAGTAATATTCATTTTTGGGTTTTATAAGCTCAGTTGGCTGTGGCAGTGATCCCAAAAGTTCATCACTTGTAGCTTTGCATCCATGACTGAATGTCAGGGCTGAACATCATGGATGCATTACTGAACTTCTTCTTTTTATTTTTTTTAACATCTAGTGGTTAAAAAAAATTATCAGGTAGAGTGGGTTCCAAAAATTAATGGGAACATTTTAACAGAGAACTCACAAGATCGGTTAAGTTGGGGATCTCAGGCAAAAACAATACACAATTTCTACACTACACTTTTATTTTATGAACGTTAAAATACAGAAACTGCTAATAAGCACCGACAGCGATGGAGGGGTGACAGTTTCTAGCCGCCTCGGTGTGTGAGCATTTCGCAGTCGTGTCAAGTCAACCATAAACTCCTTTTGTGTTCTTAAGAAATCCAGCTGCTAAATGTGAGGCCATGTCTCCTGACACCTGCAAGGACAAAGATCTCAAGCACAGCAGTAAATTTACATCTTAACAGTTGAAATAAATGACAAAGGTGATCCAATGACCATGTCAAAGTCCAGACCTTAACTTGGACTGAAATGCTGTTGATGAAGAAATCCTTTCACACCCCAAAGAGCTGAAGGAATATTTTAAAGAAGAATGGGCCGAGACTCTTCCCGTTGAAGTTTGTCTGAAAATAAAATGCAGAAAACAAAGTTTACTGTTTAAAATTATACCAGCTGGGATTGGATTGGATTTTCAAAAGCTGCTGAATATGAGTATAGCTTTTTGCATGGTGTAAAATAATAATTTGATGTAATGTGTCTTTTACTTTTTTGAGGGTGTAATTATCTGATTTTGCTATCTGATGTTTTTTTTTTTAATGTTCTAATGCATAAAACCCCACAAAAAGTGCATATAATGTCTTTTTTTGCTTTCATTTTATGTGTCCAACAAAAGGCTGAAGCACATCTGTGCAGTAGGGACAGAAAATAAATTAATCTTTTCCCAGCCATCAATTTTTTTACGACTCATATGAGATCCAGCCAGCGAGAAGGGGAAGGATATTGTGGACCATCTCAGACTGACTGGCAGCAGACATCTGTCAGGAGTGGCAGGTACAGACAGCATTCTGGCAAGCCGGGCTCATGAACAATGACTGGGTGGAGATGAGACAGGCTGAGGAATCCATCTCTGCCCCAGACAGCCTCCATCGCTCTTTGATACCAGATTCAGCGAAGATACCTTAAGGCCACTCAAGCTTTTTGTGCCGTCTTTTTCCAGCATCCTACTTAAATAAGTCGAGGAATTATGGAGGATGAAATGAAGGCGTGAGACTAAGGGGATACTGGGATCAAAAGACCAGCAGATCAGAGGGTCCATAGCCTGGTTTTAAATAGAGGAGA